AACGCGCTTTTCCTCACTCTCTGTGCTTTCCTCGGATGGATCTCGACCAGAAAGCGTATATTTTTTGTAGTTAGGCCTAGGTAATTATGCAAAACCCAGACCTAACTAAAAAATAAAAATTGCCACAGTATGTAACTCAAGTTAAAATAACACTTTTTTACTCGTGCAGCTCAATCAAATATTATGTCATTTAAACGACCCATTAGTATTAGCATGGTAACATCAATGTATTTTTAAAAATTAGACAGCGACGTTCTCTCAGATCAGAAGTTGTTGATGACCTTTTGACCTGAATTCTGCAATATGAGATTTTCGGGTCGATTCAGTCGAGACGGCCCGAGTGGAGTTTCATGTAAATGTTTCGTACGGGAAAAAAAATCGCAAACTGGTCATGTTATAACCATTTAGATACTATTACAGTATATTTATATTGTATGATGCTTTTCCTTCCCAAACATTTTTAGGGAAACTCAAGTTGTGATTTCCAAATTTAGCCGCGAGCGATGCTTAATAGTAGATTGAACATCGTCGAATGTGTTAAAATCTACAGTGCTGTTTATACTGTAGCAATGGGGGCGGGAATCCCGCGTCCCCCGTCGGAGAGAATAACCACAATTTTTTAGGGAGAATAAAATTAAACGTATTTATTAGATATTATTATGAACTCTAAAATCGATTACACCTTTGAAATCCCTAAATTGCCATAGTTTCGTAAAGCTCACCACTTCCAAAAATGTTGAACGACGCCCGACAAACGCCCGCTTCACTCTCATCTGGGACGTCACCCCTACCCCTTTCAGAGACTTAGATCCCCACCCTCGTTTGGCAAATCCTGGCACCACCCTTGTTTAAAAATGACTAACATTAATTTTCTAACGGTTTTTACCTTGATCTTCCTTAGTTTATTTTGTAAGCAGTAAATGAGGCAACCTTTAAAAATTGTAAGCACTCTTGTTCTTTTCATGTTATTTTGATACAACTTATATTACATCCATTAAAGTATAACCTTATAAAACAAGTTAAGCCGGGTACCCACTGCACGTCAAGAGCCCAACGCCGACGCGCGTGCGACGGATCGTTGTTAATGACGATCCGTTCAGAGTGCCACCGAAAATCAGCAGACGGCGTCGCGTCGTGTAGCACTCACAGGGAGATGAATTGGATTCGTCGTACGACCGACGTCGTCCGACGCAGTGAGTGTCCCGTTTATTTTATTTTATTTTATTTTATTTTATTTCAAACATCATCCAACAGCTAGGCCAGTAAAACAAATTAAACTGAAAATTTTAAACATTTTAAAGATAGGTCTATGTTGCATATAAAAACATTACAAAAAGGGACGGAAAAAACATGATATCGATTATATAAAAAATATAATGAAAATACAGTACATAGTACACACAATTAGAATATTCAAAATTTAGAAATATAATTGCATAGTGAACATAAGAATTGTTCTCGCGCTGCTGTCAATACATTTAACAAAAGTATTTCCTAATTAAAAAGATGACATTTTCATGCCTGCTTATCAAAAAGTTGTTCTATGGCTACAAAATGTTTTGACGATATGAGTGGAAATTTGGATTTAACGGCAATGAATTTTTAGGATAGGGCCTATTCGTTTTAGGTATTAGGCCTACTGTACAGGAACATTGTTATTTTTAGAATAACTATAGTGGTGTTGGGATAAGCCTTATTCCAGGTCACCCATTTCAACTAATGTTATTGTAACACTCAATAAGGAAGTGAAAAGATACGAGTGTTTCCGTAGGTACCAGCCAGAAACGCCCTCACCTACCTCAAACGCATAAATGCAATATAAGTCATTTGGAAACTAGCGCTCATTGAGATTGCATTGAAGTAGCCTAAGCATCAAATCATCTTCGAGTGATCTTTTTAACCACTTCAGGTAAACTTCATTTTTTTTCTCCAAATAAACTTGAAAATAGGAATATGTATGGAAAAGATGAACAAAAATAACAAACAAGAAAGAGGGCCGGTGCAACCACAGCAGTAGTCGCTAGCTGTTTGTTTTTCTTTTTAAAAATTAAGTAGGAAATATTTATAGGCCCTAATAATTACAATTCTTATGCCTATTAGGCATATTAACCCCGGGCCCAATGCTTCGCACTGGCTGCCCTGCCCATGCCTGAGTCGCTAATTAGAAAAGATGGGGGAATGATCAAAGAATGTTTGCCCAAGCAGACCGTTTGGGGCAGACTGGGGTGGCGTTAGCTGTGCCTTAAAGTATTATGGGTTAATCCAACCAACTCCACTTATAGGCTTCTGATTATTCAGAAACGTCTTTCAATTTCATTTTATTATAATGCCTTGAGACAAAACGAACACCCGCAAGGTAGTGCTGCCCAACCGTTTGAAGTGTAGAATATCACGTTAATATGGCAGATCAAGCCTCCTCACTGTAACAAAATATGGTGTAGGTGAATTATTTAGCGTAATTTGTTTTGCATCGAACATGTCGTATGGACGGGGTCACTGAAGGCGAGTTTTTCTCCCCCTCCTCCTTCCTTGCTGCTCAGGCACCCCGCTAGATATGCGCTACTGACGGTAGGTATAAATATATAATTTGACAGAAACGGCTTTTTAAAAATATATAATTCATTTAGATCCACGGCTGTTCATGGCTTGTTATTGTCAGGAATAATGTTTAGTGTCTAGGCTATAATGTTTCTTCTTCTCCACCTCCTCCTTATATGATGTGAATTAACTTGTTATGTTCCATTTATAGATATGGACGAAATGATTCTAGAGGAAGGCAACCAGAAGAAAACTCAGAGATTATGTTGTGGTATCTCCCTGCAGTCAATTTTCAACTTCATTGTTGTTGTTGGACTGCTTTTGTTGTGTTCGTCTGTAATTTTCAAGTTCCAACAAATCGATAACAAGCTGAAAGGACTTCCGGTAGGAATACAAACAGGTCCATTTTATTTTCCCATTAAATTCGTCGGAAGGAGATAATAAGAAGCTCTCGATTGCACTACGCGGTAGGACATAAAAAGTAATGACGTCACTTAAGAAGTCATATCTGCGCATGCGAGAACGTTGAGTTTTGTTCAATCGTGATGATAGACCTACGTTGTGCAAATAAAATCTAATTAATTTTCCCCATGCCCCAATATTACTATATTAAATTACATACTATCTTTTTTTTTCTTTTCATAAACATTTTTGACAATAAAGGGCACTTGAATGGTCCACTGATTAATCTCAAATTTAAAGATAGTATAATACATACTCCAAGTATCGAAATGCACGCCATCGTGTCGGGATTCAATATTTCGACATTAATTATGTCAAAATATTGAATCCCGGCACAATGGCGTGCATTTCGATACTTGGAGTATGACTATCTTAAAGGGCACTTGCTGTATCAATATTAGGCAGTCATTCTGTATGCACATGAATCTAGACTGGATCAATGGCCTAGTTGAAAATTATATACTTTAAAAAGAAATTTATCACATTCTGATTTCCAGACGCTAGGTCACGAGACAAGCAAACCTGAAGCATCGTCGCTGACAGATGATAAGCCTAGCTGTGAAATTCAGTGTAAGTTTGATTTGATTCCGTTGCAGATCCAGCGGGGGGAGGCGAGGGGATGAGGGCCCGTTCCCCCCTCCCTCAATCAAGCCGAAACATAAAAAAGGGTGACAAATTTGAGAATACAGGAAAGAGCAAAAAAAAAAGGAGTGCACCCATGGGTTCAGTGGAAATACAGCAGTGGGCGAAAGGAGAGCTCGATTATTTACCACTTATCTATGGGCTGAGATGGGCGTGGCGCCGTGAACTTCATATTGTGACCCCGCCCACCCCCGTCAGAAAATCTCTGGATCCGCCCCTGTGACTTAAGGTCTGCCCACATTACACATTATGTGAAAAATAAATGTGATATGCCCATATTTATGTGTAATATGACAGAATCAAACGAAGCATTAATAATTCGTCGCTCACATCACGAACTAACACAATCAAAGTAGATTGTGTTAGGTTCGTGAAATCACAGTAGCGCGTCAAAACGAGCGCGTATTGGTTGTCAAGCAATTTTGTATTCTTTACCACACAAAAAGTCCTTAACGACAACAGCGCGTATTTTGACGCGCTTTTTTAATTTCACGAACTAACACAATTGAATTTAATTGTGTTAGTTCGTGATGTGAGCGACGAATTGTTATATTCATTATTATTTGAAATATAAATACAAATATACAATTTACCCTAATGATTAAATTTTAATTATTACAGGTGAAAGGGGGCCGATTGGAATGACAGGTACGGTGATAATTTGTCTTTTTTGTATCAATAATTTAGATTGTTAAAATATATTTTTTAGCTAAATCTCCATAACCAGGATAGTTTAAAATTTACAGTTTTGTATATTATTTTGAAGACGCCATAACCAACTTGACTACGTGTGTTTCGTTGTAGATTTGTCCGAAATCTTTGGTAAATTTAGCCCCCGATGCTTTATGAGGCTTGGGGTGGATAGCATCATTTGAAACAATTCATTATTTACTATTATTATAAATAGATATTATAAATATGATGGTTGTTAAACTTTAATCATTGCAGGTGAAAGGGGACCCATTGGAAAGACAGGTATGGTGAAAATCTATATTAATTTTTTACCAATAATTTAGAATGTTGAAATATTAATTTCTAGCAAAACCACATGATTTATTAAAATCTACGTAATATATTAAAATCTCAGGATTCTTATATTAATTTGTATTAATTTGAAAGCGCCACTGGGACATTTCGTCTTTGATAATTTATCCCCGGCTACGTTATGAGGCTTTTGGGAGTGGAGTGGATAGCTTAATTGAAACACTTCATTTTCTATAACAATATCTTTAAGGGATACACACTACACTGGAACTTGTAGCCTATCAAAGAGCGTATTTGACAGAGGCCTTGTATCATGCGATACATGCACTTTACTACATTGTTTAATGAAACCTACCTACAACATGCAAGTTCTAATGCAGCCTTATCATATACACTATTAATTATTCTCCTCTTGTAGGTGAACAGGGAGTACAAGGACGGCCAGGTCGACCTGGCCCACCTGGACCAAAATATGTACCAGGTATGTTACTACTTTATTCTTGAGCAAAGACTATCATAACTGTACGGAGTGAGTTGTTGGTAAAGAACTATATGTCCGGAAATGAAATGAAACACAAGAGATTTTATTTGGCGATTCATTTCCATTGGTATAAACGATGACTACTGAATGCATTGATATAAATTATAGTAAAATGTGCCAGATAAATTGTAGACCTAATCTTCTCTCTCTCTCTCTCTCTCATATATAAATCATCAAAGAAAGGTAAATACAGTGTTCGAATAAAGGACTTAATAAATACATCGTG